GTTCCGACAAAGGAACTTTTGTGTTGGGGTATATCCATTTTTTACATAAAAAGTTGCAAATTGTTAAACAAAAGACATTGTAGAAAGACATTGCAGTTCCCGATGTTAAGCTTCTACTATATACAGGGCTGTATGACTTTAATGTCAGAAACCAGGGAAATATCTTCCTTTTTCTCCTCTTTTCCCAAATGCTCCTTTTGGGTTATTTTCTTATATCAAGCAAATGTACATTGCGAGCTCAGTGCAGAGAGAGAGCCTCTTCTTTGAGTTTCCGTGGACTCCTTTTGACTTTTGGTAAATGTGAAAGCATTGCTTCTTTGGGGAGACCAGGAGCAGAACCCACAAATACTAAAAGATGACAATTTCCTTTGTTGGTGCAACAGGAACCTCTTAAGTCTTTGGCTTATCAGATTTGGAGGGATCCTGTGCTGAGAAAGTGAGGACATGCTTCAGGGCATCACTTTCCCATGCCTGCCTGTTTCTCTCTTCTCAGCCTCAGATTCTATGTCATTTAACACCACTGCACACATCCACGGTGGGTATCATCCATCACTGAGCCATGACCTTGAGCTTCCCGTGTTTTGTTAGAGGAATACAACCTCAGATGAATGGCATGAGGTCAAGTCAAAGGAACCTATCAAGCAGTGCTCCATCTTTTAAAAACTGTTTTTCTTCTTTGAAACTTGAATTTCAGTATAGTTATCTTACAGTGTTAACATAAGTTTCAGCGATATAATGTGGTGATTGACTATTTCCATACATTGCCCAGTGTTCATTCGCACAAGTGCACTTCTCAACCCCCACCACCTTCACCCATTCCGTGGCCCCCCTTCCCTCTGGCTACCACCACTTTGTTCTCTATAGTTAAGAGTCTGTTTCTTGGTTTGTCTGTCGCAGCCAGCATGACAACTCGACCAGGGTCGAGAGGGTAAGAGGATGGTGAGACAAAGACGAAACGTAAAGAGATGGGGACAGGAGGGACACAGTGGATGATGTCCAAGCAGTGCCAATTTTATTCAAGGCAGCAAGGCATTATATAGCTAACAGAAACAATCATAAGAAGGTATCTATTTTTAGCTGATTACTAAAGAGTTTGCAACATGCACAGAAAACCCTTCAAGCTTTCCCATTATCTATTTCCCAAGCACCAATAGCAGACCCTCTGGCGCCAGATGTACTAACTTCAAGGCTACTCAAGACATAGTTTATGTAAGCACAGCACAATCTTACAATGGTGTAGTTTATGGCCTGTGCAAGGACAGCAAGGACCAGGCAAGAATTTATGACCCCGACCAAATCATTTCTATCTGACTAGCAAACATGTGGGAAGTCACGTAGGTGAGCGCACAACACATAGCACATACCCTTTCTCAGTGCTACTTGACTTTATCAACCTAAGCCTTTTGTTCGGCTATTCAGCCTTTAAAGGAGGCACAAGTCAGGGCTTGGTTTGGTCCTCGTCTCAAGCCTTATCGTGGCCTCCCACAAATGTATTTCAAGTTGTAATTACTGTCAGGAAGAGAAAGCCTTGGGATTATAAAAGAGTTACCTAGGGTGGCCTGGTTCTGATGGGGAGAGGAAGTCCGCCCTGCTGAGTAAAAGACCTTCAAATGAAGTCCTGACATGTCCTCAGGACCTGGAAAGGGTGAGAGGGCTGAGCAGGGAACCTTGTGAAGGCTGGGAACAGACACTAATCAAGGAACTTGCCTCAGTGTGGATAAGCCCAGGACTCTATCTGCTCAGTCCTGGAAACAAATGCCCTGTCTTCCTGAAGCCCTCCCAGGCAGAGCAGTCACTCCTGCCCAGAGTGGAGAACCCCCTGTGCCCAAGTTCATGTTCACCCTGCCTCTAACATTGACATGTCATGTGCAGGTACTGGGACAAAGCCCAGAAGACAAACCCATGTGAATCCCAGCTCCGAGGACAAGAGCACATCCTCTATCACCTCAACACTTTCTCATGAACTAATTCTTCATCTTCTACAAAATGCCCTCCCACATGGCTCCCAGTGAATTTTCCCAGACAGGAGCAGGCTGAGCCACATGGGACTTACCATCGCCTAACTGATCATTCTAGTTGTTTGTCATCTGTTAGGGGAAGGCATAGGCAATGGCAGGAGGCCCAGGCAAGTGCCCGGCAGGCAGCACCACGAGGTACCACCACGACCGTGGACTCTGCCAGCTCTGCATTTGTCCTCCATGGGGATTTGCATCAACCTCCCACCCCTATTGCCTCCATCAAGGGCTGATGCTACTCACTGGGTCTTTTCCATGGAGAAGTTGTGAGCAGCCTTGGGAGGACAAGAGCCAGCCTGATGGTGTCAGACCCTCAGGCTCCTGTTCTTATGGTCCAGGTGAGAGAATGTCCCCAAGTTGAGAGTTCCCTCAGGGGAGACCCTCGTGCTTCCTGAGAAGAGTGGTATTGGGAGGGGACAGGAAATGAATGCCACCAACTGCACAGGCTTTCTTAGGGCCTGGCCTCACCTTGGGAGGCCCACTCTGGCTCTAACAGAAACACAGCATCTGTGCATCAGCCCAATGTGCCTCTGATGGCAACTTCTGGTGGGTACATGACACTGTCCCAAGCTGCTGGGCCCCTGGCCGTTCCCCAGGAGAGAGTCTCCATCAGCTGCAGGGCCACTGATAGCCCCCTCCACGCAGCCGGGAAGCACTCCTTAGCCTGCACCAGCATGGACTGAAGGCTCTCATTTACCTCCCTTCCACCTGAGTTAATGTGGTGCCTGCCCGTTCAGAGGCAGTGGCTCTAGGACAGACTTGACTCATACCATCTGCAGCCCCCAAGCTAATGACAATATGGCTGACTTCGGTCTTACAACATCAGGATGTACTGTCACAATGACAGGACCCCACATCAGACTTCAGCCCTCTCTCTGAGTCTTGTGCTAGTCATGACAGCCCTAGTCTGGCCCTCTCCACTCAGGTCCCTACCTCCCTTCCCATTGCCTCCAACAGCCATCCCCACGCAGAACCTCCTCTCTACCAGAAGTTTGTAGTCTCCGTCTGCTGAGCACTCCTATTTCCTGGCTTTGCCATTCAAATTTTAATCCAGAAAAAAAACATCTCATGAAGGAGAAAACACTAGATCTGGGTCTATCCTTGTGCTGGAACCAATGCGCATTATTCTTTTCCCAACATATTTTTAACATGTAAAAAAAAAAAAGTTGTCTAGTGCAAAACCAGGAGCAAAGAGCAGGCTACTTTTGTCACTAGAAAACGTTTTAAATTTGGAAAGAACAGTGAAGGCAGATTATACGAGGGTGGCAAAGAAAAAATATGGAAGTCGGGAGAGATAAAGGACTCACCACCTGGACACCTTCTCCCCAGACGCTTACCCAACAAACCACTTACATGCACAGTAGCCCCCCCGCAACCGTCTCTTGTGAAAGCACCCTGAGCTTTTGTGTTTCCCCAACAGCCTGCTCACCGGGCTTCTGTCGCCCCCTTCAGCCACTTCTAGACTTCTAGGCCTGCCTAGAAAGTGGAAGAACAATGTTTGAAATCAAGATAGGTAGATTACGCCACTCTAAGATCACTCCTTATTGCAGACAAACACCAGCCCCAAGGTCTCTCCTGGTTTCTGGAATATTTTAGCTCCCGCCTCCTACAGGCTCTCTCAGCCTGTCACAATTCCTGGTGGTTTCAGTGTATTCAGAATATGACCTTCCATTACCTGCTCTCTCAGTTGTTTGGCTGATCCTACTCCAATCGTCTCTTCCGCACCCAATCTTGATCAGTCACTCTTGTGGCCATGCATTAGTTCCACCATCAGAAAATCATGACAAGTTCTCCATCATTACAATCCTGAGCATCTCAGGGACGCCTGGGTGGCCCAGTCTGTTGAGCCTCTGCCTTTAGCTGAGGCCATAGTCCTGGGGTCCTGGAGCTGAATGCCCAGGGATGACCTTAAAGAAAAAGGTGACAAGTGATGAAAAAGGTGCTGAGGCACAGTGTCCCATGTTCCTAAAGTGACAGGGTTGAAGAGTGAGGGAATCAGAGCGCCTGGGTGACTCATTCTGTTGAGCGTCCAACACATTTTCGGCTCAGGTCATGATCTCAGGCATGTGAGACAGAGCGGAGGTCAGGTCCCCACTCAACAGGGTGTCTGCCTGAGAGTCTTGCCATCTCCCTCAGCCCCTCCCCACCAGCAATAAATAGATAGATAAAATCTTAAAAAAAAAAAAAGAATGAGAGAATTGTCTTTGTGAGAATGAGTATGCCTAGGAGAAATGGAGAGGAGAGAGAAGGGAGGTAGGAAAGGAGCCAGAGCAGAAATGAATGTCCAGGACACTGCCCAGGAAGGCTGGGAAACAGGGCCCATGGAAGAAAAAGTGAGAGGGACACTACCTTCCACGTGGGAGATTCTGAATAGGAGAGCTCAAAGCCTTCATCCTGGGAAGGTTCAAAGTGGGAGGGTGATGGAGGGTGAAGAAAAAAGAATGAGGAAATAAAAGAGAAATGTCCCAGAGTCCAAGAAGAGCAGGAAGGGAGAACTGATCTGCCAGGTGGAAAGTTCATGGTTCTTTGTCAGAGGCTAAAGACAGACCTTCCTGACTCACTCCTGCCGTGGGACTCTGGGAAACACACATCTTCCTGGGGCACAAAAACTCCTGGCAGCAGCCCTAAGACATCTTCACAGCATTTGTCTTCACTAACCTCCCACAAAAAGGGATGCAGGAGGGATAACTGGGTGACTCAGTTGGTTAAGTGGCTGCCTTCAGCTCAGGTCATGATCCCAGCATCTTGATGGAGTGCCTTTTTGGACTCCCTGCTCAGTGGGGAGCCTGCTTATCCCTCTGTCTTCTTCTTCCCCTGCTTGTGCTCCCTCTCCCTCTGGCTAATGGATAAATAAAATCTTTTTTAAAAAAGGGATGGGGAATGCAGGAAAAGTCCGATCCCTTCATTTTCTGCTGGGCCTTACAAGCCCTTCAAGGAGTAAGTCAGGAGAAGTGACTTCTCAGGCAGATAGGGGAAGGCACATGTTCAGGCTGAGTGAAGAGGAAGCAGCTGGTGCAGCAAAGCCTCCCTGACCCTCAGCCCCGGGGAGCAGGTTTGTGTTTGAGGCTGAAGCACTGTGGGTGGAGAGCTATCATACTGCTGGCAGTAATGGTCCCCCACATCTTCGGCCTGGAGGTTGCTGATGCTGAGGGTGAAGTCAGTCCCAGACCCACTGCCGCTGAACCGGTCTGGGATGCCCGTGGCCCTGTTGGATGCACCATAGATGAGGAGCCTGGGAGCCTGCCCAGGTTTCTGCTGGTACCAGGCTACACGGTTGCTAACACTCTGACTGGCTCTGCAGTTGACGGTGACCCGTTGACCTGGAGACACAGCCAGGGAGCCTGGAGACTGAGTCATCGTGATGTCCCCACGGGCATCTTTAATCAGAAAAATAGTGATACAGACACACTTTATCCCAGTCACACTGAAATATGTCATTGCAAACGTGCTTCCTAATGGTACCACATGGCAGTACATCATTGGGTCAATTTCAGAAATAACCAGTGTTTCTCATTATATATCCTAAAATGTTGTTTAAAATGACATTTCTCCAGAAGGATTTTGGCACTTTTCAGCTTCTCATCTGAGACCCACAGCAACAAGGATACTAGGACCTGCCTCTGTGACGCCATTTTGCTGCCCCTGCCTGCCCGACGCAGCTCAGCTCATGTAGCAAAGGCCCCTTTTATACAGCCTGGCCTGGGACTGGAGGGGTTTATGCAAAGCAGTCAGGGAGAACAGAAGCAAATCTCATAAGCAGTAGGTTTTGAAAGTACCCAGTGGAAATGTAAGGAGCCAAAAATAACTCCAAAATAGAGTTTACAACAGGAACACACAAAAGTCAACTTAGAAGCTCTGAGAACAACTAAGAAGTTCTAAAATGACAAACTGCTACAAGACCGAATGAAGAGGTTGCATTTTCAATTTTAAAATGTCTTTAAATGGGTTCAGTTTCCAGAAATGATGAGCTTCGCTGTTCATACCAATAACCCTGGTAAAATAACAAAATATGCTAGAAAACAAATAATTAGAGGCAGGGAAGGGCAAAAAAATTAGAAGGCACAAAAAGAAAGTGGAGAACTTTGAGCCCAACTTTTTATAAAACCTCTGACTGGAAAACATCGAGCTCTGAAGCCATTTTTCTCCTGCAGATGGTTAAGGACACGGCAAACACTTGAATGTGGGTCCTGGAGCTATGCAAGGTCCTGAGAGATGAGAGATGGAAGAGATGGAAGACAGGCCCAGAATTTCCTCACTCAGGGAGACATGTGGGACCCTCATTGGACCTAGGGGAAGACTGAATCCTGAATTTTAATTATTCTATCTTTTCAGTTCATTATTTCTGTTCTGTCTTGAATTAAACAATAAATGAAATCTAGGTGCCT